AGGGGGGGATGTGTGTGCATGTGTGTGTGTGTGAGGGGGGGATGTGTGTGCATGTGTGTGTGCGCGTGTGTGTGCGTGCGTGCATGTGTGTGTGCATGTGCGTGTGTGTTTTGCGTGAGTGCGTTTGTGTGCATATCTGTATATTTTATATCACATATATGTATGTATAACATAATCTGGTACTATATATGTCACATAACGTATTACATCATTTTGATCCTGTTTCCTAATTTGCCATTGCTTAGTGTATTATAGTTGTATGCTGGCTTGGTATGATAGCTATATCTCTTTATGCATGTATATATACATATAAATACATATATTATATATTTCCACATGGCTATGCACTTAATAATTTAAATGTTGGACAACATAGGGTAGGAAGAACTACTCTCTAGTAGCGCTGCCAGGGTCTATATCTCCCTGGGTACTGCCGGAACGTACCCTGGTACTATCTAATATGCCGGACCGTACCTCGCCTACTCCACTAACGAGTCTAGGGAGTGGCTTATGCTTACTCCCTAAACCTAACCCTAACCATCAGCTAGCATGGTACCATAGTTACCAGGGTACGTTCCGGCAGTACCCAGGGAGACATAGACACTATCAGCTCTAGTAGCACGCCCTCGCCCCCTACGACGTCACGTGTTTACCTTCGTCGTGCAGCCGGCCCCACACCTAGTCGTTACACGCGCTCATCATCATTATCATTATCATTTTTCCTTCATGCCGTGTAGTGCTGTTTTGTACTGTATCACTCAGAAATGTTATTATTTTAACTGCTCAACACTATTGAATTCATCAGATTTTTTCCCATGAAAAAGACCGTCTTCAGTACATGTATTTGTATTTGAATTACGTGCAATAAAGATTTAATAATAATGAATATATATCCGCGGCAGGTAACGAGGGAAAGGCCGGCATGGCGGGCATCGTCGACGCGGACGGCACGCTGGACCTGACTAGGTTTGCATCGGACGTGAAGCTGAAGTTGCCGGCATACGCGCGGCCACTGTTCCTGCGCATCATGAGAGAGGCCGAGCAGACGGGTGCGTACGCTCACACACACACACGCTGTCTGTCTGTGTGTCTGTCTGTCTGTCTGTGTGTCTGTCTGTCTGTCTGTCTGTCATGCTGTACGCGCGACCGCTGTTCCTGCGCATCATGAGAGGCTGAGCAGACGGGTGCGTACGCTCACACACACACACACACGCTGTCTGTCTGTCTGTCTGTCATGCTATACGCGCGGCCGCTGTTCCTGCGCATCATGAGAGAGGCTGAGCAGACGGGTGCGTACGCTCACACTCACACACACACACGCTGTCTGTCTGTGTGTCTGTCATGCTATACGCGCGGCCGCTGTTCCTGCGCATCATGAGAGAGGCTGAGCAGACGGGTGCATACGCTCACACTCACACACACACACGCTGTCTGTCTGTCATGCTATACGCGCGGCCGCTGTTCCTGCGCATCATGAGAGGCTGAGCAGACGGGTGCGTACGCTCACACTCACACACACACACGCTGTCTGTCTGTGTGTCTGTCTGTCTGTCATGCTGTACGCGCGACCGCTGTTCCTGCGCATCATGAGAGGCTGAGCAGACGGGTGCGTACGCTCACACACACACACACACACACACGCTGTCTGTCTGTGTGTCTGTCTGTCTGTCATGCTGTACGCGCGACCGCTGTTCCTGCGCATCATGAGAGAGGCCGAGCAGACGGGTGCGTACGCTCACACACACACACACACACACACGCTGTCTGTCTGTCTGTCTGTCTAACAGACAGTCAGACACAGCGTGTGTGAGCAAGAGAAAGGGACAGACTCAGTCTGACGGCAAGAAAGAGAAAAAGACAGCAAGAGAGAGAGAGAAGAGAGGAGAGAGAGAGAGTGTTAGACAGCAAGAGCGAGAGAGAGAGAGAGAGAGAGAGAGACTGTTAGACA